AGTGGTCAAGGCGATGAAACGGTGATGAGGCCCGGTGAAAGGACGTGTCCACTCTTCCCTCCTCTTGGGGAGTCATCTTGAGTAGAGCTGGACTGCGGTTCACCCAGGGCAAACAGTTTGTTTAAAATAAAGCCTTCAGACGTAGAGCCAGAGCTGCTTGCTACCAGTAAGGTCTGTGGAGGCTACCGCCACATCGAGCCTGGAAAGCCCAGCGCCCCGACGATGTTACGCTTACATTTATCTATCACAGCTGGCAGGTGTCGGACACAGCCAGAGACGGGTTTGTAAAATGAAACGTCGGCGAAGGCGAAGCTGGCAAGTCAGTTAGAGTGAGACTGAGGGAAGGAAAAGTCTCTCATTAGACCATAATGATGTGTGAAAACTGTCCTAATCAGAGCGTGGCACCTTATTTATGTTGGCAATTTGCTGTTTTCCTGCCGTGATGCAAAAAATTCCACTGTCAGAGGCTGCAGCACATCGGTCTTTTGGGTTGATTGTCAGTCCCAGCAGGAAAAGCAGACATGCTTTGTTATTATTAGTGCACAAATAAAAAAGAATAGCTAGTTTGACTTTTTACCATCCAAAAAAACAGAAAGACAGTCTTTACCAATGCAGTCCTTCCAAGGATAGTTCTCTACTTTGACACATATTTGACTTGTGTCCTTAGTCAGCATTTGTTCCAACACATTACCACTCAGGGTATAAATATTCTCTGCTGGATATTCTGTAAATTTGTCAGAATTCACTGGATCGAATGACTTTATTTGAAGCATTATACATTTGTTGAGGTGGACATCCACCTGGTAAAGTCACTTCTAGCTCCCTGCTTCATTAGAGGTAATATATCATTTTGTGCGTGTGTTTTTTTTTTGTGTGTGTGTATGCATGTGTGTGTGTGTGTTTGCATATGTCTGTTCACATGGATGCCTGGGGCAGGTGATACAGCCTGGGGCGCAGCAGCATAAATAGAGCTCACACTGCAGCCAATCAGACGGCACTATCTAACTCTATCCGTGAAGGCAACGCAAAATCCATACACAATAGAGATTCATGAACCATGCAAAATTCAAACCAGCTCGGCCATCGACAGCATCCATGATGACTATTGATCAGCTCACGATTTCTGGCTCTAAACAGATGTGATTGGATGACTTACCGCAGAAAAGTGCCACTTCCAGTTTGGAGGATGAGCTCATTTTCGACTGATACCATAATGTTCTGTATCTCACCTGCTGTCTTTACAGTCAATACACTCTGCTGTACTCTCTCCGATCGTTCGGCGGGAATCAAATTATCCATAGTGTCTGGTAGGGTGGCACTATGCCCAGAATGCCTATAATATGCAGGATATCGCTTACATTTTGATTTAGAGAGAAATGGGTAGTTCTGGAATGGCTCACTGGATCTTAAACCAGCTACTGCCTCCCTTTTTTAAAAAAAAAATTCTTCTTTTACACACCTTTAAATAGGCTACAACTTGTGGAATTGTAACAGTAAAATTTTTCAATGCATCTTCAGACTTAAGAAACGGTTGATGAGACATTATACATAATAAATCAAAGGAAACTTAGATTTATCTCCCCAGTCTTCTGCATCAGACCAGCTGCAGCCTCTAAATCAGTCAAAACTGAGCAAGCTACAAAATGAATTGGCAGACTGCTCCCAAGCTGAAAGGGGGGCAGAAAATGGAGAACAAACCTAAATTCTTCAACAAAGCCAAAGAAATGGCACTCAGGAAGAAAAGGCATGTGTTATGGAAATGATTGGCCCTAAAAATAGAAAGCTCATTGTAAAATAAACAGAAACGTTTGATAAACAGGCTCAGAGGAGGAGAATTAATTAGCCACGCTGGACATGTAAACACAGCCATACATCAAGTTCAAAAGGAAAACAATAACAGGACCGAAGCGGATTGAGAGAAACCCCTGACCACTTGTAGCTCTAAAAAACATAATTCTGTTTCACTTCATTTCTGAAGAGCAGAAAAAAAAAACCCAACTAATTAAGAACAAAAAAAAAAAGGGAAGGCATTTCAGGCGAAGGGAAGCTGAAACAATAAAGTTACTGGGAGATTTTTATTTTGCTGCAGGAAAAAAAAAAACATGAGGAGTATGAGAGACAGAGAAGGGAAACAGAGAGATACAAATGATGGACAAGGGGGTAAGGAGCTTACGGTCATGCTTCTGTACATGCAAGAGGAGGCTTGCGCACAAGCCCATGAACGTCTGTCTCCCTGACTGAAGACACAGTGTCTGTTAATGCTAATGCTAGCCAGCTGGGCTCTCCGCCAAAGGCATTAAGTGGAATCGAATTCCACCAAACTAGCTTTAATCAGCAGGTTTTAAGGTTAGAATTACTTTCCCTCTCCACCAGCCTGCTGGCCAAGGTTAAAGCAGACACAGACGGGGGCTGGGCGGGCTCAGCTAATGGCTCTATGTCGTGTGCCACCATTCGCCAACATGCGAGGACATACATACAAAAAGGTGTACTGACAGCAATGTCAGAAAACAAATAAGTTAACAGGAACGGAAAAATAAAACGGAGAAAACAACTGGCTCCTTCAGAAATCACACATTTTAAGCAACTATGCTGCTATCAACGTGACAAATAAAAGAATACTGTTTAGTTATGTAGAATGTGAATGTGTGTGTTCACAAACCATTCAAAACCATGTTTTTAAAGTTGGGATTAGTTTAATTTCTTCCTATTGGAGCAAACTGAGAAACATTTAAAATCTAAAGCATAATTTAATCTAACTGTATATTCTTTATCTTAAACCTTGTTTCCATTCGTGGTTCTGAATTTTCAGGATACTCTTATGAAAAGGAGATTATAAATACATAATAATTGGCAGTGATCTCCTGGTGCTGGATGACCTTTATTGGAGTCACATAATCACTTCTTTTTCTGTAGACTGTGAGTGTATTAAAGAAAACTACTTTGAATCACCAGTGGTTGTGGAAACAAATCGTCCTGAAAGTAAGCATAGACAGATCTGTAGGTGGGAAGAAATGTGCATTGGCAGGTGGGTCAAGAAAATTGCAAAAGTTTGAAATAACTAAGGGGTGAAATAGTCTTTGTGTCCCTAGATTGCCCTTAAGTGTGTGTGCATGGTTTGACCTTTGTGTACCTGCGTTAACCCTTGATGTACTGGCGATCTGTCCAAGGTGTAACCCCGTTTCTCGCCCAATGGCCGCTGGAGGTAGGCACCAGAACCACACCGGCATGCACAGACAATGCAAGGATCAACACAGGACAGGAATCTGACACATTCTGTATTTTCATATGTTACTGCAAATGTTACTGGAAACGGATGGATGTTTCAGCATTTGATTTTTTTTTGGGGTGGGGGTAATTCTTTTCAACGGAAAAAAACTGATGTGTTTAACAAATATCTCTTGAGAAGTGAGGTCAGGGCCTTTAAGTAAGGGAAGAAAAAATGTTGAGAAAGTAACACAAAAAGAGAGTTTAAACAGCTTTTGCAGACGAGCAAATATGTCAGGCTGATTTCTTTTTTACACTTCACAAAGAGTCCAGTAAGGTCTGCCTTGACCTCGGCATACAACAGCAGTCAAGGCATTGATGCCTGTCAACAAAAGAAAGCTCGGGAAACCTTGCAGCTCTTCTGTCAGCTTCTCAAAAGTCAATCTGTGTTCTTCTATAGTACCCACACTGTGCACAGAGTCATACACATGCAATGGTAAGAAACATTTCTTTTCCACTTTCTTCCTTTTTCTTATCTTTCTTCTCTCCTTATTGACTTTCCTTCACATGGAAGAACATGGACTTACTGTGGAGACGAATTACAAACTAAATCACGGTCGGCATCAGCGTTGTTTCCAAGAACACGAAGAACAATGTGCAAAATAGGTCTGAAAAACTGTGAATGTGACAGACGAGACTTTATAATCTGATGCTAAGTTTATACAGTGCAGGTAAAAACAAATTTGCATCCACTGACCATGAGCATGAATATTAATTGTGGATCTTCAGAGATGCAGTCAGACTGCATAACAACAATGCTCAACAATGCTGATGAATTTAGAAAATCTACTGGATGCACAAGTTTGGAGTCATTATGGATTTATCTACATGGTTTTATGAAATTATAAATAAGATTTTACTAATATTTGGTGAAAAGTTCACCTGCCATTTGCAAAGAAACCACACGCTGTTTGAACCGCTCAGCAAACTTCTGACTAAATATTTAGCACCTTAAATAGGAAGTTCAGTCTTGTTGTTTGATTACTGTCCTGATTTAAACCAGTTTTGTTGCTTGTTTCAGCTGTTCTAGATGACTTAAAGTTTCAACCACATGTTGATATGAGATGAAAACTAAGATTTTTGAGTTTTTTTGTTCTTTCTTCCACTTTGTGAAATGTGCTAGAATCACTACCAGGCGGTTTTGTGAGCTGAGTCCTGCAGAGCAAGTTGGTGAATGGTGCTCAACTCTAGACACATTTAAGGGAGGTGAGCAGCACCAGAGTGTCAGATCTGACCATTCAAATCTGTCTTTATGTACAAATTTGGCCATGTGTGGATTACAGGAAATTCACACCCCATTCAAACTTGTGAACTCCCTTCTTGTTCTTTGACGATCAATGAAAATGTGTGAAATTCCACTTGAAAAGCAGAACAGTTCCAACACAACCAGAATAAGAGCATTCCTGCCCTCAGTAAGCATACACAGACATACTGGCACTGTATGCAAAAGATGAAACTGCAAAGGACTCCAGATCGCTATCTTAAGACAACACTTCCTTATCGCCTCACCTTTGAGCTGACCTACAGATCACCTGTCTGGAAGAGACACGCGAAAAATGTCTTGCAGCAAAGAGTAATGTGCATCTCTTAGCATTACAAGCTAGGTCAAATACGACAGGCTCTTCATTCCATTAAAAAGTTGAGTAATGGACACAGCACAGAGGTTGTAGAGACAAGGGGTCAGAGGTTACACTTTAGCTGTCATTTTTCAGTGGGCGCGGAAAACAGCTGACTATGGGGAGAAAATCCTGGGCCTGATCTCTTAGTGAAACACAAATGCATGTGCTGGAGGATGGCCAGAGGTGTCGACGCAGAATCTGTACGCTTGTACCGCTAAGAACAACAGGAGAGACGACTGCAGGTACAGACGTGTTCATGGTAGAACAAAAACCCAACAAAAGGCAAACACGTTTCTTATCGTAATAACAAATTAGTCGCAGCGTAGCTTTGTGAGACGGATCCTGCTTATTAAATCCCAGTGGCAGAGTGTGAGTCTGTCAGACCGCTGATTAACCTTCACTTGTGTTTGGTAAGGTAAGGATGGAAGTGTGCAGAGAAGGGGAGTGCGTCCTTTGCATTAATGAGAGCAAACATCAAACTTATAGTTTCTCCCCCTAAACACACACACATACACACGCGCACAGCGGAGACCTAGTGAAGATGACGTCAGGGACCCGGCTTCCCTGCCGCGTGTTATACCGGGCGGACGTGCAGCTTAATTGTGGGAGAGAGCCCAGATTTGTAATGCTGCGCCGCTCTGTTAGGGCTGATTAGCAGACGCTCATGCCCTCTCCCCCCGCGGTGATCTATAGGCACTCAAAATTTCTAATATCTCCAGTGTAAGCAAGGAGGAGCTGAGAGGGACCGTAAATCATGACAGGTCCCACTGAGTGCAGGAGTGAAAAAAAGAAGGAGACGGATGGAGAGAAAGACTGAGAGTGAGTTATTGAGAAAAATATTCAGCCTGTATGGAAACATGAAGGAGGGAGAGGAACGGGGCGAGGGGGAGAGGCGGCAGAGCACATATAGGTGGAGAGGAGCACACATCAAGGAGACATGAAAGAGTTAGGGAGGAGAGAAGAAAGAAAAGGAGAGGAGATATGATTACCAAGGAAACAGCAAGAAAAAAAAAAATCCAGTCGGGGAGGAAGAGACGGAGGGTGTGGAGTAGACAAAGAGGAGAAAGAGCATAGGAGGAAGAAAGAGAGTAGGAGGACTGAGAGACACAGAGACAGAGGGAGACGGAGAAAGGAGAGGATAGAATGAATGCTAACAGGGAGCCCAAACCCAATGCTGAGGCTTTATCCTTCACAGGCGGAGGAGCAACAATCGCAAACACATTTTCTCTCGCCCTGGCCCTAAGAGAGATAAAAAAGCAATTTGTATTCTATTCCTATTCAGCGTCGCTTGGCCTGTTTCTCTGCCTGCATATTTGTAAACACAGCTTTGTCAGAGCAGCTTAATCTTCCCAACACAAACACAGACTACAGGAAGGAGGGGCGCGGAGGGGTGAGCGGGGAAGAGCGGCGATGAGAGGGGGGATAGGGTTTGAGGATGAGGGGGGAAAAAGAGAGAGAGAAAGTGAAAGGGTGAAAGGGGTAAAAGGGGTGAGGAACGAAGGTAAGGGGACGTTTGGGAGGCAAGTGAGAGGTCATGAGAGAAAACGGGAATAAGACTTGTTACTGTCTGTGGTGCCTTATGATGTCCTCGTGTCAACTGTGAAGGACCCAAACTCGCACTCACTCATTATTCTACCCACTGGACTAAAGTTCAGCAGGTTGGATCACTGAGAGAGCCAGAAGAAGAAAACCCATAAGACCCATCTTCATAGTATGGCCTGGATGTGACAGATGGAAGAGGTGGGCGCTTGTGCTTCTCTAACTGTCACCATGCTTAAATTAAGTGCTTAGGCTGCACATTCACCCTGACATCTAGCGTTCCAGGCCTGGACTTCCAAGCTTTCAGGGGAACCAAAGTGCACATTCTATACAGGCTAAATAACAGAGTCATGTGGAAGGACAATCACATCACTGCAACTGACTGACTATACACCCGAGCAGAGACAGAGGGAGAAAGGGAGAGAGAGAGAGAGAGAGAGAGACCCACGCACAGATTGGGAGAGGGAGAAAGAGAGGCGACTTGGAAGTGGTGATCGTCTGGGTGCACATTCGCTCACAGAGGCGTGAAATTAGGCAGAGCGACACCTGCCAATACGCATTGCATTCAAGCCCGCTAGGTTCGCACCGCTCTTCGGCCTCTCGAATCATGCCGCGTACTCTCTCATTCCCCCTCATTCTGCTCCACCCTATTTTCAGATCTCTTCATTATGGCCCACAGCGCCCAATTAAAGACTGATAGCCACTCCATTCACTTCCAACACCGCATCGTGGGCGAGATGGTGCTACACTTCGGAGCGTGGCAACAACCCTCATCAGCTTCTGTGCAATTCTTTTCCTATTCACACTCTACAGACCCAGCTGCAGTTGCACGCCGAGGCATCTGGATTAGCACAAGTGAGATTAGTTACCATCGTGACGTCAATCATGGAGGCACCGGATAGACAGCGGAAGTCTTATTCAAACGGAATCCCCACAATGCTTTGCAAAGCTACTCGTGGTCTTTTGAAGGCTTCCCATCCCGTTACATTGTGTCCACAAACTTTATGTACTTCATTGGAATTCCATGTGACAGAAAAAAAAAAAAACGTGCATGTGCAAAAAAATCCATTCTAAGCAGTCAACTTTAAAAATACATACTTGACAAATAAATTTCAACCAATTTCTTTCAGAAGTCACTGGGCAATTTTATCCCAGTATTCTGTAAATCCAGCTGTGGCCTGTTGTCAAGAGGAAGGTGAGAAACACCGAACGCAACAAGGCAGACGGCCCGAATGCTGCTATCAAAGCTGACCGTCTCCGTGCCAAGGTGCACTGATGCAGTAATTTACACAAGATGAGCCGCAACCAGGTAATGAATGCAAAGAAGTGTAGACACTTTGAAGCGCCCTGTCATTTGTTCTTAAAACATATATATTTTTAAATGGTCTAATGTGATATTTAAATGAATTTACCTGTAAGCCACAATCACCAAAACCGCAAAAATAAGAGCCTGAGATACTTTTACTTCATGTGTAATGAATCTCTGTAAAATAACCGTTTCATTGTACTTTTACACAATATTTCATGTTATAGAGATGAATTAGTGTATCATCTACCTCTCTTCAACTAAAAACCTAAAATAATAGCGGGTTCATGAAGCTATTTTTCTTGTAAGTCACGCGTCTATCTTTACGTTTGAGCTTGTAGGGATTGAAATGAGGCTTTACGCCAAGCTGTCAGCTAACTGAACCGTCATGATCAAGCGTACACAGTATTGAGGCAAACTTGTTAACTTGGTTGCTTGTTTGCTGTGGCAGCACTTTCAACAAGTGTGGATCCAAGACAACTTTCCTCTTTTGTGTAATATTTATCCGTCTGCATCCCACTGTAGATGAGTAACGCAGGCAAAAATCTCTAACTTCCCCAGTGCTCCTACTTGTGGCTGTGTGTGTGTGCACGCGTGTGTGTGTGTGTCGAGAGCCCTGCAGACAGAGACGCAGCCAAGAGACAGATTTGGAGAGACAGGGATTGCCACAAACAGACAGAAATGAGCAAAGAAAGACAGGGAGAACACGCAGCAGGCAGATGGGAGAGCCTGTGAGCCCCCAGGCAGGCCTGTGTTGAAGACTGTGGGGAACGCGACTGAAGGAGACCGTATTATGTGCAGATTGTGAACGGGGGAGGAGGCTGGTTAAGGGGGTGAGGCGAGCAGACAAGAGAGAAGGAGAAAGACAGAATGAGGGAGAAGGAAAAAAATCAGCCAGTGAGCCAAAATGAGGGAAAGGAAAGCAAATGAAAAGTGACACTTTAATTCAGGGGGCTTCTTCTGGCTGAGTTATTATGAGATGTTTGTAAGCTGACTTGTTCATGCATCTCCTGGCCTTGTGCCTGACTCACGCTCACTGAGGAGACCTGTGGCGCTAACCTGTGTTTATCTGAGCTGCACAGCAGGGGACAGCACTCTGCCACCATCCTCAGCTTTGATCCTCCCACTTTCACCATGGCTTCCCCCTCTGCCTCCCTCCTCCACCCTCACCCATATGTAAAATGTCTCTGTACCAATGCTCCTTTTGATATGGTCAGAGTCTCACTTCACTCTTAATTAATTGCCATTTCTCTAATCTGGGAGGCAAAGGTTAGCTTTGGCTTCACAGACACACTTCTGAACGCAGCACAGTACCAACGCTTCACACGAAGATAACGACCAAGAAGAGAGAGAAGCGAACTACATCAAAAAGAGCGAATCTGCGAGCATGAGAGCAAATGCACAGAGAAATAAAGGAAGAGTAACAGGATGACAGGGTGAGACAGACATAGACACACAGAGAGAAAAATGGTTTTGGGGCCGAAATTATTTGGCTTTCCAGCTGGGAAAATGTAGGTGTCTGAACGTAAGAACCTGACCAGGGTACGAGATTTCAACGACAAGAGGGAGAAAGAAAAAAAAAAGACCCATAAGGGCTTTTCCTCAGTTCGGGAGGCAGCTACAAAGCAGACAGATAAAGGAGACAGGCAGATAAAGGAGACAGACAAATAGAGGAAGAGCTGGAGCTGCACACAGCCAAGATGTGGCAGACAGGTACAGCCTGGCAGCCCAAACAGACGAAGATGGGGGAGTGGGGGAAAAAAAGCAGCTCTTAATGAAGCAAATTTAATCAGCCAGAAGGATGCACACACCCTCCTTACACGTTCAATACAAATACATGTAGAGCAAGAAACACTAGAACAAGGATAGATCCATTTAGGAATATGGGGAACGAGCGTGATGAGAAATGCAACAGAAGAGCAGGAATGGAAAAAGAACCTAGAGCAAAGTCACTGTGAACTAGAGAGAGAGGAAGAGACTGAGACAGACGGAGAAGGTGGTGGAGGGGGGTGGTAGTCAGCTGGAGTGCCGACAGGTCTCCGGAGGTTGTAATATATAGCAGCGTTTCAATCTCTCAACAGCAACTCCAGCCCTCCTTTTTCATATCCTTCAACAGACTGAGGACGGAGAGATACGTCTGTCCTTCGGAGCCAAATCGGCATTCAGGATGATATAACGTGCACATTTTTTGACATTATATCCCAAATCTGGATGGTTATTTGTAACTGGATGAGAGCTCCGTCCCCATTCTCTTTTGAGATCTCAAGGTTACCAGTGGTAAAGAATAGATATGAATGCCCATGTCAGACACGTTTCTATGTTTGTCTTGTAATGTCTCCGCTCTCCCTCAGATCTCCCTCAGAAGCTCGAGTCCAATGCTTGATTTATCTGCTGCATGCGCCATTAATCCAGCGACCACGCATGCCTCTGTTGAATAATTGATCTCTATGCTACTGTAACTAAATCCATCAAAAGAGTGACATCCCACCTCCCTCCTCGATGCCTTTACTTCCTCTTTGGTTCTCCGGAAACCACAGAGTTCCAGTATAAAACTCAAGCTGCTCCAACAAGAAAATCTAGTTAGTGTTTTCACATCTTTCGTGGTCAGCGGCGCCGTGGAGGAAAAGGGGTTAGAGTTCGCCGGAGAGGTGGTGTGTCATTATGGGTGAGTGTGAGAACGGTTCCGCCACCAGAGGGAGTTTCGAGTTTAGATTCTGAAAGGAGGCCAGACCGACTGCACAAACACACACGATATTAAGATGATGCAGGTGACAGGGTAGTCTTAAAGTGCCAGCACCGTCAGGGATCCAAGCAGCAGTGACCTCTTGAGATGGTCAGCTCCGAGTTCTGTGTTTAGACCTCAACAAACAGCTGCCTGGAGCAGAAGGGGGACAATAACCCTTAATTTATGCCCACCCTCCCTTCCTCCTTCTGCCTATCTCTTTGACTTGTTTTTGCATACTGCATTTAAAGTAATAAGTACAGTATCTCCTTGGATGCCACAGTGCTATAAATCAGGGGAAAATAGACCTGTCATCTTAGTAAACAACGCATGCGGCGAGTTATCATTAAAAAGAAAAGAGTTCTTGAGGACGCCTAGCCATGCATGAGGATGAGCGTTAGACCAATCTACCAATCTCCTTGGTCTGCCCTGAGTTTCAGTGGAGGTGCACACAGATATGGTACAAGTTATACAACACTTACAAGACTCAATGGGAAAAGAGTTATATATAACCTTAAAATGAATAGATTTTGTGTTGCAGCATCGTCTCACGATGAGTTTATTAGTTCATTAATTCAGCGAGGGTAATAAATCACACTAAGAAATAAAAGTTTTTTATAAAAAAAACACCAGTCCAATAGTTATTAACAATCCTCATTAAATAAATACAGCTAAAACACTTTTATTCTCTTTGACTTGATGAGAATATTTAGGATCTTCTAATAAGAAACCCGTGACTTTCTGTGTGGCTGCGGTATAAATATGTCATGAAACAGAGAGCTCTTTCTCCTAGGCATTCATCAAAAAGGGGAAGACAAGAGAACATCCTAGTCAAGTCAAACAGATGTGTGTATGTCTTTAAAAGTAATTGTAAAATACTTTACAATTCATAAAACTGTTACAAACAAGCCTGGATGATGACGTTCATGTTGAAACCACACATAGTAGATGGTTTGTAATTGAGAATAAAAGGTCTCCAAAGAAGCGATTGGCCTCCTGAGGTCACTGAATCTGAAAAAAACAATTTACATATTATTTACACACCAACCTGTTACTTAAAAAGAAAATCTTTTCAGTTTCACTCTCTCAAATGTAAGAATGAGGACGTTCTGGTCCTAACCAGAACGATAACACTGCAAAAACACCAAATCTCACAAAGTATTTTTAGTCTCATTTCTAGTGCATATATGTTATTACACTTGAAATAAAACAAAATATCTTTTCAGCAAGATATAGGAGCTTGTTTTAAGTAAATAATTCCTTGATAAGACAATTTGCCCATGTTGTAAATTAAATAATCTGCCAATGGAACTGGAACTTTTTCTTCAATATTAAGGAATTCATTACTTAAAACAAGCTCCTATATCTTGCTGATAAGTTACTTTTAAGTTGTTTTTTTTCTTAATTCAAGTGTACTAAGCCGTTTGTGGTGGACAGAAAATACCTTGTAAGATTTTGTATTTTTCCAGTGAAGATTTGTTCAGACGATTCAAAGACTGAGCTGTTGCAAACCGTTATGGCGAATGTTCTACAATAGGTCTGTTCCCCCCGCAAATACGGAAAAACCAGGAATTAACTCTTTGAAAAGCCAGGAAATTTAAAATAAAAATTAGCTGTTTTTTTTTTATATGTAGGAAGCCGATCTCTCAAAAGTCGATACACATATTTTGGATCAACAGGACAATGCTGCAAAACATTTGTCCAAATTGACACGGAAACCAGCCTCAAATAAACCTTTTCCAGTCAGTGTCAGACCGAGAACAGACAACTAACCTGTGAGGTCACCTGACAAAAGAGAACCTAAGAGAGGACCAAAAACTCTGGGCGATTTAAAGAGTTTCCAAAGTGGAACAAACAGTGATTACTTCCTTTTTATGCATGAAACTGGTGAAATGTTCTAGAAGAAGTTCCGTCGTATTGGCCAAAGGGGATTATATAGTATAACAGCAGGTTGCCAATAAATGTAGCCTCCATAATTCTG